TACTTTACATCATCAGAGCTTTAAGGTCTAATAAGAATTCTTCAGCTACTATTTTTTGTTCGTGAGATATTAGGTTTCTGACATTGAACACCAGAAGTTCCTAACTTTGAAATTATGATACATGTCACTATGCTAAATACTTCGTCATAATAGTAAATCGTATCTTATGGACCGAACTTTTTGGTAGAACCGATTTTTTTTTCATTTTTTCTTGACCAAATGTATTACTTATGGAGTTTTCTCAATAATTTATAAGATTAAAATATATCAGTACAGGATTCCAAATAGTTTTTCTATATTTAATATCATCAAAGCTCTAACGTGTACCAGGAATTCTTAGGCTACCGATTTCTCCTTGTAAGATATTAAAAATGGGTTATCATAAGATATTAAAAAAAGGTTTCTGACTTTAAAAATCACAAGTTTTTAACTTTGAGGTTATGACACACTTAGTGTTTTTTTGACTAAATTTATCACTTTTTTAGTTTTCTCAATAATTTTGAGGTTAGAATATATCAGTTTAGGATTGCTAATAGTTTTTCTATATTCTTCATCATCAGACCTTTAAGGTCTAACAGGAACTTAGCTATCATTTTTCGTTCGTAAGATATTAGGATTTTGACACTTAAAACCTGAATCCGTCCACTGTGCGACGTAGGAATTATAATCCGGACAGTGGCGAATATTGAGAAGGTCAGGTTATGGTGGATTCTTATATGCAGTTATATTTTACATTATTGGCTTCAATTTGTTAAGCAAATGTGAAAAACAAATTAATATTGTATTTTACTGTATTGTATTCGCTACGTGCACAAGCTAAAAAAGCGATCGCAGCAATACCTGTGCTAATATGTAAAACTAAACGATATGTTTGTGTTCTGCTAGCAGACTACTAAGCATTACTATCATCAGAAAGTTATGTGTTTATACATCGACAACCATTCTAAGGGTAAAATTTTTAATAAAATTATGAGTAGTATATACATATTTTACTCATGCATGTTCATTTTAAAAACGCAATGAAATACATCGTATACTGTGTATTTCTTAGAGTTTTTAGCTGGGGCCTGATCCTCTAAGCGTATCGTATGAACGTGTGTACATACTGTGTGAACACGCCGGTATAGGGCTAACGAAGCTCTCTGATTGGTCAGAGGAGGTCTGTGTTGACTACATTGCAAACTAATGAAACGTATCACGTATCACACAGTACACGGATTTGTGTTGAAGTAATACTCAAGCGCTTAAAGTGCTTGTAGTACAAATTTTATCTTTAGTTATTCACGTAGGATCGTACCACTTGAGACATTGTATTAATTTGTGGTATAATAAACACAGAACCTTTCGTGTATCTATCGAGGTGCTGTGTTCCTATAGGTATCAAGCACATATCGCGAATATTGCCTTCTGCTGTGCCCGACCAATAGTTTTCGTTTTTCCCTCGGTGGCGCTGCTTCAAAATTGTGTACGTAGCAAATACTGCTTCTTTGCACCTGTGAGCTAGTGACTTGCCAAATTATGTGTGTCTAAATATGGTACTGTTTGAGCTGTGGTATCTAATTTTCGGATAGCAGCAAAACGCAAACAACCTTGAATTACAAAAAAAACTTTTTTTTTAATGACTTATTAAATTAATTCTATACATGTAGTAACCATCCTAAATCAATTTGATACTGTAGATTACAATTAAATTTTTTCATTCAAAAATTACAAAAATTTATTTAATTCTCGCTGCTGTCTGGATGTAGGTCTGAAAATCACTTTTGTTTAAATATACAGTGCTTTACTTTAGCTACCTTTCGAGAAAATGACCACTTGACCAGCCAGGTAAAATTTATTTGTATTTTTGTGAATATTCAGAATTCATTGAAGTGTAAGGAGTCTTACTCTGCTAAGAACGTAGTTATGTTTTGGTGATAACTCGATAGGTAAAACATATTGTGCTTTAAATAGTAAGGGAGTTTTAGACTAACTTAGTGTCGATATTTTTTTCATCATTGCTCAAATTCAAATAATTGATGTTGGGCTATAACATTTTGTTACATACTTTTTGAGAGAAACTTTAAGCATAAGTTATCAAAATAATAAGAATTATCATCTCAATATTTTAAACAGTTATTCTTAATGTTATCAATTCCCTAGTGTAGCGTTATATTAATGGGTGGTTCAAAATTAAGAAAACTATTAAAATAGACAACATCATTACTACGTTTCCAAAACGTCGCGTAGTGTGATTCAGAACCATTCTTATCATCGAAGTTAACTATAGCAGTTTCACAGTAACAAGGTCTATTAACAGATACATTTTGTTGCGTTACTACCTCCGCAATAATAAGGGATTTCTCACTTTTTTAAATATTTAAGAAAATAAACATTCGTTACAGCTCTTCTTACGGCGATCTCGACCCTAATATAACGAAGAATTAGTATGCTCTATTCAATAACATTTATGATTATTTTCAGAATTCACATCTTGATAAAGATTCTGCACCATTATTGAACAAACATAATTTTCTTAACGTTATGCCTTTGACTGTGGTAATAGAGACGCAAAGAATTTAACATTCAAAAGTCTTGATTACAGTTAAAAAAAAAGTAGTGAACATCTAGAGTATGTAGGCAAGATATGATCTGATTTTTTTATTTCTACCACAAATCTGAGGGCAGCATTCTTACATCTACGGAGTTTGGTCATGAGTTCAGCAGATAGTTCCAGGTATAAAGCTGAAGAGTATTCCAATATAGAAATTACCAGTGCCTTCACCAGCAGAAGTTTAGTACTCACTAGTGAGAAGTTAGTATTTTTTTGTAGTCAAGCTAGTGCTCCAAAGCATTTACCAGTGACTACGGTGATATGTTCTCTTAAAATAAGATTAGAATCTAAGGTAATACTAAGTATTTTAACAGAATCATACAGGGAAATAACACTGCCTCCTTACATGATGTCCGGTATACCCTGTTGACAGAGTTTTGCCTTGAATCCGCATTGTACCAAGCCAAATCGCATAGGATTTCTTAGCATTCTTTTACAAACCATTGACGTCAGATCAATTACTCAATTTATTAAGTACGTTGTTTGCTTTCTCAACCACAATACGGGCTTCAGAGATGGGATCATGCAAAAATGAAAGCAAAAATCATCTGCATAAAGGTGATGTGAGCACTCACAGACATCAGGCAGATCGTTAATAAATAACGAAAAGAGTAGAGGGCCCAGTATGGAGCCCTGAGGCACGCTACTAACTTTATTCAGAGGCTTAGATGTTTTGCCTTTTTGATCAACTACAATCTGAGACCTCCCAGTCAGGTATGACCTCACCCAAGAGTAAGCTGAATCTGATATGCGGAAAGATACTAGTTTTTTGCAGAGCAAGTTGATGTTAACAGAATCGAAGGCCTGAGACATATCGATTGAGACTATAAACGAAGGACTTTTATATCTTGCTAAGTACTCACAAGATACCAGTAGATCAGTAGTCTTTTATCTCTATAGCTCTCAATTTTTTTGGAATAGGTATTATCAAGGCTATCTCCCGAAGTTCAAGGAACGTGCTAGATTGAAATGATGCATTGAAGATGTTCATTAAAGTAGGTAACAATAGTTCAATAAAATCTTTGAAATAACTTAGCGATATTCTATCTGAACCTGTAGCATTAGATCTTGCTGATGAGATGGCGCTATAAACATCTGTTGTTGTCACATGCCAAAAGTAGAACCTCTCATCTGGGTTTATTCTAGGGAAGACATCACGTAGATTATGTAAAGGTATTATAGACCCATCACCAACAAAGTGTCTATTAGCATCATAAAGATCAAAGATTAACGAGGAATATGTATCTGTATTTTTGTTTGTCAGTCCCCTACCATAATCATTAACCATTATAATAATTTATTTTTATCATAGATATTATTGCTTCTGCAAGATATCATATTCTAAGATGATAGTATAAATGTCATACATTTCTCAGCTCTACTTTCACTCTATTTCCGATTGACTTATAAAATGAATGAGTTGCACTCAATAGAGAGTGCTTGTACTCTCTTTATGTCTTATTCCGTTTTTTGATTACTGCTTCAGATGAGGAGACAACTGTGGCAGAGGTTTGTGCTTATTAACAACTGTTCTATAGAGAGCGTGTTTATCATGAAGAGTCAAGAAGATATCAGTTAAAGCAGAAAAAGACTGACAATTTTGACAGATTTGGAGAGACGTGTATAAAAAAAGATATATATAAAGATAGAGGGAGAGGTAAAGACATAGGAAGAGAAAGAGAATGAGGAAGAGAGAAAGAGTGTGAGTATGAAGAGAAAAAGCTAGCAGGGTTGAGCAGACATATACAGAGGAAAAGAGAGAATTAGAAGAGTAGGATAGCGTGGGACGTATGCTTGCCGATCGCGTGGTGTGAGACGGAGTCACTGCAGCGTGTTCCAAGGGATGATGTGAAGCGTAGTATAGTGTACATTGTATAACATATATCTTAAACCTTTGACAATGGCGTTTCTGCTGAAAAACCTGTTGTTAGCTTTACTAAGAATAAGAAATGAGTTATAAAATAAAGCGAAAAAAAATTGTGTGTTCAAAAAATTTTTAATTCGCAACCTTGTTGTGGGTTTCATTATGTAATAGATTTGTACAATTACTTCTATTTAATTACTGTAATCAGACATTGCTATTGTGTCATAGATTTTTATTTGAAAAAACACAATAACCCATAATTTTTTTACTGTTTATACTATTCTTTTCCAATTTATTTTAAGGATATATTCTTACTATCACATTTAATGTTACCAGTATTTACGTTACCTAGTGAATTCGGCATAACAAAGACCCAAACAACCAAGTACAGATAGAACTGTAGCAACCTAGTTTGCTTAACCCTATCGACACTTCTAAGACCGCAGTTCTTCTTTTATGTTTTTTTTTATTTTTTGAGAGATATTGGGCTTCAAAATAATCTAAGGTAAATAATCCAAAATACATAGTCCAAAACAAACCAAGCAAGTTAAAGTAATCTTCCGACATTAATAATTTTACACTATCGGAATATGTTGACTGTCAATTTAATTTAACGTCTAGAAAAAAGTCTATTTGGTAATTATCAAACTAGTATCTTCAGAAAACTTTTAACTTCACAAGCTCATTTTAGGTTACGTTGTTAGAAAAGTCATATGATTATCCTCATTTACTCACGAAAAGCTGCAATTACAAAAACAAGAAACATGAATAGCAAATACATTTTGACGTCGTTGATCTTCTTTAACTATGTATTTTTAAGACTTATTTTTACTTTAACATCTATTGCTGTTAGTGCTTACGTTATTCAGTGTCACCAGCATGATAAGGACTTTTCCCACCCAGTCCAGATAGTACTTTTATGACCCTGTTCTTAAAAACTCAGAACTGCAGCCGTACTTAAATTTAACCAAAAACACATGAAAAAAGAAAAAAATATAACCTACTTTCTTCTAACTCAAAATATCCTCGCTTTTATTTGAGATGCTGAGAATTTCCTGCTGTTACAACATAACTATAAATGTAACAATAATGACTGTTTGCACAAATTTAGGGGAAATATTTTAATTTTATTAATCATATTTCAATCCAGGAATGGCTTTTGAACCAATACGATATATGATAACCATAAATAAATATTGGTCATGACAACTCACATCAAGACAAAGCATCTTGAGGAAGTTTATCTTTACTACCTCACATATATGTTAACCAACCTTAACTTAATTGTACGTAAAGAAAAATTGCATAATGTTACCTTGTTTTACAGAATAAAATTATGAGCTTTCCACATTTAAAAACTAGGCAGCCTGAATACTATATTTTACAAATTTCTAACATCATATAAAGTTAATATTAAAATAGTGCATTCTAATAAAATAAGACTGTCAAACATATGTACGATCCTAAGAAAAAAAATATCTCTAAACCGTAAAAATGTACTTTCTATACAGACAGTAAAATAAACCAAGATGAAGAAACGGCAAGTGCACGATGAAGAAACTTACAACGCAATCTTACTAAATTAAAATGTAGCAAAAACACTTAAAATTACAAAAGCTAAGGTGGAAGCGCAAGCTGACGCCTTATTAATCGAAACTTACGGCCATGAAACCAGCTCGCGAGCTGGGTACCTGTACAGCAGTAGTACTTATCTTATGTACAGTCAGATTGCCGCGAGTCTCATCTGTCTCTATTCTTGCCTCCAGCTGCTACTCCTAGTACACACAAAATAAGCATATATTTTTAGTAAGATTAATTCAGTATGTTAGTTATTTCATTAACATTATTTCTCGACGAGAAGTGCCCATCCCTCTAGATGTAATAAGTACTTAATCTCTATATAAACACGATTAAATATAATTTTATAGAAATAATAGTAAAATCATTTTCTAAATAATATTTAAACTCATCCAAATAAATAGCTTAAGACAATTGATGTACATGTCATGGCCAGTATATTAAAAAGCAGATAGCCCTAATAGTACTATCCCAGCTAAGATATCACTCACTGCGAATAACTAAGTACTAGGAGATGGTATCCGTATATATTATTATATAAACCAGTACGAATTGGATAAATTTAGTTTTGTAAACCTGTCTTGATGCTCATCATTACTGCGTTATATAAAATAAAACTTTTTCGAAGTAGAAATATTCTGAAATCCTGAGTACATCCATCATTATGGAACATAGGGGTGATGCGGGTGTGGCTGGCACTCTTACTTTAGCTAATTACTGTGATTTTATAGAACAATCTTTTAAAATTACAAAAAATTTATCTTACAGTTCAACGTGAATAGAAAGGAATGTTATAGTTTAATCAAGATTAAATCATTCACTTTTGTTTATGTCGAATGAATACCAAGATCCTTGAAAACTGCCAGTTGTGCCCACTAGCAGCGCAGAGCTGGCAGGACGGTGGGGCAGAACGGGCAACAGAAGCAGACCATAATATAGATATGTATGGCCATATAATAATGAAGAATAGGTAAATGATAAATATCGACTAATAAAGACAGTGCAAAATAAATAATTAAGTAAACGTGTATGATCTTTATTGATTCTTTTTATTACAACTATTTATCACAATAATAGTTACTACTTATTTAAATAATTAAGCTACCTTGACTTAAGCAGATAACTAAAGCTTATGTACAACCTAATAACGATGACTAACTAAAAGTAGGGTTGTGGTTTGTTTACATTGTAGATTAGGTTAGTGTACGTGCTTACTTCTACCTATCGTCTGCAGCGAGCAGGAGGCTTCTCACGCCAGCTGTGCCCTCTTGTAGGTGCCAGGTTCTGCCCCACCTGATATAATTATTTAAAATTAACATAACTTTTTCCCTTTGCATCTAATAATATCGCAAAAAATCGCAAAATTAAAGTTGAAGACTCAATCAACAAGATGGTATGTGATTCATAGCCTAAAACACTTTTGTTTTCATTTGTCCAACGAAATCAAAAATCGAAGGATCGTCATTTTTTCCTTGTAATTTTAAAGTTACCTAAGAAATTTTCTTGTTACTTTTTGTGACTTTCCAATTACTGAGGAATTTAGAAGATGTTTAGAGTAATAGTTTTTGTGTTCATTTAGATGAAAATATTTTTTTATCAAGAAAAAATTAGGGGTGCCAGGTTTACCCACCCTGCCAGCCACACCCGCATCTCCCTTAATATAAAAGTAGTCAACTCTAAGCCACCGCACAATGCGGTGGAACAGACTTTTTGTACATAAATAAAATAGCACCGGCTGCTGTGAACCGATTAACATAATTTTTTTTTGATAATTGTAGGTGAATGCACAAGAAATACCAGAGAAATGGTCCCAACCCAAAAAAAAGTGTGGTGGGGATTGAAACTACCGTTAAAAATTAAAAAAAAGATAGAAATGACACATAGTTTCATCTAACTTACTTCATAAGGACTTAACAATAATTGAATATAAACATTTTTAAATAAGACAGCAATATTTCAACAAATTACATTAAACTAGGTTATTATAGGTATCATGGAGGTTGAAACAGTACAAAACTACCACTAAAATATGAATTTTCGTACTGTAAAAAAAAATTAAATTATAATTCTGTAAGTTAATCTATAACTCATTTTATACTTGACGAATTTACCAGTTATGTTGTAAGCAAGTGCTAGAAAAAGTACCACTTTGCGTTACAAGGGTTGAAAAATTTTGAAACTTACCCAAACTTGCAGTTTCTAGTGATATATTTGACGAATAAATAACATTTATCCGAATTTGTAAAAAATTATTATAGACTTTACTGAGAAGGAATCGACCACAAATTTGGTATAATAAAAAAAAATTGGGTGATATTATGGTGTAAGGGGTAAAAAATTTAGCAAAACAACCCCTAAAAGACTTAATTTACGTGTTTTTATGGTCCAGTGAAGTATGTTTCTTAAAGTTTGCAATATATTACTTCTAATAACTAATTGACCTATTCTTTGTAACAAAAAGTGTGATAAAACCACTGCAAGGATACGTAGGGGATAAATTCACCAAAAACTAGTCCCACAATTGATATACGTGCATATGTTTTTTGTCGCACTATTATACTTTTGCTCAGATCGTGATTAATTGTTTGTAAGATGATTGAAAACGAATTGATTACTACCATTGTCGTGCAATTCATCATAAAATAAATATTAAGCTGTGCAAGGGTTAAAATAACACAAAACTACCCCTAACATTGGAATTGTCGTGCTGTCAAAAATAAATCAGTTATAATTCTGTGATTTAGTCTATAATTTATGTTATATTTTACGAATTCACTAGTTATGAACATTTCAATAAAGCTATATCTGGGCTGACATGATACACAGCTACCCCTACAATTAATGTTTTCTTATAATGCATGTTGCACCTCATATACTTTCAAATTTGTATGTATTTGCTCTTACGATTACTTAAAATTAATTCATAAGTAATGCAAATATACAACACATTTTTAAATATTTACATTGAGCTGTACAGGCTTTTTCATAACACAAAACCACCCCTAAATTAAAATGTTTCCGTGTCACTTGAAAAGAAAGAATAGCGTTTTTATAAGTTTGTCTAAAATGTTTTTAACTGCGCTTAGGACAAATCAGTCAATGATTTTGTGACCAAATACTGCAAAAAAGTATCATTAAGCTTAGTACGAAGGTAAAGTAAGCTTCACTTAACCCTTATATAGAAATGATTTTTGTTTTGCAAACAAACTTATAAAATTAAAACATAGAAGTTTTGCAAACAACACAAATTGAAAGTTTTTTTACATTGCTAAAACAAGATTATTTAGTTATTTTGTCGAATTTACATAACAAATATTAAAAAAAATAATCTTACATAAACAAAACTCAATTGACAATGAGCTACTTCAAATACTTGTGATATTGTAAATAGGGACGTTAAAATGATTGTTTAAAAACTCCAAGGAATCATGATAATTAGACATTCATATGATAAAAAGGGTTTGATTCAGTTGTATCAGTGTTCACTTAACCTCTTTATAACATAATGATATACCTTCTCATTTTTTTCGTTACAAAATCACTGATGTATTCGTCTTCGTTAACGTTGAAAATAAATATTGACATACTTGGAAGAATATATTCAATGCAGCAAGAATTTTGCATAAAAAATATTTGTGCTGATGTTCATGTTTTATTTTTTGTCACCTGTATCACTTGCTAATAATTTAAGTGACCTGCTTCTCACAAAGACACTTATTATACTGTTCTTAAAAACATCATGATGCAATCTTAGGAAATATTAATTTTCCAATAAAAATGTAGAAAAAAGATTTTAATTACAGAAGTAATTTTGTTATACTTTAACTTCTTCGTAGCTCCGTATTACTTTCCTTTCAGTATGTTGTCGAGAAATTACTAGTGAATTTGTCTCTAGTGACCTTAAAAATATGTATAAACCAACTTAGAGATAAATTGCAAATTTATTGTACATAATTTTTAAAATTGCAACGTTA